CTTACACTCCGTGTATGATGATATTTTGTCTAAATGCTCGGTTTTCTTTTCCTTCCATTTAATAATATGAATTCCCCTTGGTGATTTATGGAGTAAGTGGTTGGATTGGATGAGAAGAGTCTTGAAATGTGTTGTTCTTGATGACTGAATGGTATGACATTGAAATGAGTTCCTTGGATTCAAGTTTCAAGATTACTGGATTAGGGTTGTCTCCTGTAATATGTCAGAAAGAAAAGGTGGGAAAGGAAAAAGAAAAGGAAAACTATTGAAAAGGATGGGAACATTAATTTGTGGTGTCTATGTTCATAATGTATATTTTCAGCTTTATTCTGTGTTTTGACCCTTTCATCTACCTTGTAAAGACACTTATGCCCTTTTTGCAACATTTCTGCATGTCCAGTTTGTGATGCAGCAATATGACAATCCATTATCAAAGAAGTTCAACGATGTAGTAAATGTTATTCGGCGCCAAAGATGTTCTTACCTTCGGTATGATTAATGGTTCTTTGGTGTTATTCTTTTCCTAAAAGAAAGGTTTATTCAATCTCTTTCATAAAAAAATGGAGTAGATTTATCTGTTTAATGCATTTTATCTTTATATTCTTTTGCAGCTTGAAACTGTGCAAGAAGGGGGATCCATCAGGTGAGTGACTAGAATACAAACTATGGTACTGCTTGATAAAGAACCTGTGTGGAATATTTAACCTAATTAGCCATGGATTTCTCTTACATAGTCCTTTTTCTTTCTTTTTTTTTTTTTTTTTTTTTGTTTTGTTCTCCACTTTCCTTTTTGTATAATTCACACCTACTCCAAAATCCTCTCAACGTGCTTCATTCATTTAAAGTTTTCTCATTCTATGTAATTGGAGAGGGAGACTAGGTGTTTTCTGGGTGTCCAAAAATGTTTGCTTTGTTTTTGTGACAATGAAGCAAATAGCTTTTGCACTATTTGCTTCTATGCTTGCAGATTTCTTATTGTCAGAATAATTTTGTTATGATTTTTATTTTAGAAAAAGAGGCAACTATATTATGACATTCTCATGATGTAATTGTTACATTTTCAGGACTGCTTTTCTTCTCATGCATGGTAGAAGACAAGAATGCAAGTGGACCCTCTTATGTTGAGTTTCTTGTACATATTCATCGACAAATCCAAATGAAAATGTCATGATAGTTTCAAGTTTCCCAAGTTCAGCTCTCAGGTATCAGATTTTTATTTGGGATTGCAATGGAGCACAATGCAAAAAGTTACGAGTCAGATGACAAGAATCTGAGTGGCCTCCTAGTCCGAGTTTCTTGTACATATTGAGCGGCAATTCTGAGTGAGTTTTATCAGTGTTTTATGCTTCTTCAGTTTGATTCACAAGTTATGATCATCCAACATTTTCTGATGCACTTGGAGGAGCTCAATCAATTATTTAGTTCCAGAACAGAAATTTCGGCTGAGTTTTGCTAAAGAGAGGAACTTGATATTACAGGGGTGAGTTTACTTTTAAGTAATAAACATATGTTCAGATTTTTGTTACCTGACTCTCGGAGTGTATCCCTGTTATTTTGTTTTATTTTTTGTTTGCCCCTCATTTTTATGCAAGACTAAACATTCACCTGAAAAAGAGTGGTGAAAATGGATAAACAGAATCTATGTAAGAGAGTAGATATCATATCGTATTCTTGTTTGTGTCTCTCCGTCTATAGTCATTTGGCTATGGTTTCTAGATTTGTAAAAAAATGATGCCTGACCCCAAAAGAAAGTGAAAAACCGTTTAAACGGAATTTTGTATGTTAGCATAACCATCTATAGCTTGCTGCGTGCTTTATTCTATGTTTGCATTTGAAACCTGATTTGGAACTGGGATGGTCAAATTGTACACCCTAGTTCATTCGTACGAGGTATTCTAGGAAGAAAGACATGTTTTATGTAAGCTTTCAGTGTTGAAGTTTTGTGTTAAACTTTCGGTATTGAAAAGTAGCGGAAAAATAACTCAAGAGAATAATTTATTGGTTCGTATAGTTATTTTAAAAAAATAATATTTATCAAGTTGAGAGTTTAAATTTCAATATTCATAATTTCTACTATTATCCTCACGTTAGGATTTATTTTGTAAAATCAAAATAATGGACAAAAAAGTATGAATTGCTTCAACTGAGTAGCATTATTCCTTGAAGTTAATTGTTTGTGTTAAAGAACGTTTTTGTGATGCTGGTAAATTCGTATGCTAGCAATTAACGTACGTTGCCAGCAACATTTTCATCATCACCTTGAAGGTAAATCAGATTTGCAATGTGGCCAAAAATGGAGTGTGCTCAAGCTTTTCTTCATTCATACTCATGGATTGTAACAACTGCAAAGCTTTACTTATATCAGAACTTATCTTGTCCATCTTCCAAGAGATTGATTCATCATCTACTTTTGCTTTCCGTTGTCGTTTTAGTGACTTAACTAAGTATTTTCCCTTGGGGAGAGGGCACTTGGTGAGAATCTTCTATTTTGATGTGTGGAATAAGGAGTTTAGGGAATTTTAATTTGTATGAGGTATTGTGTTTTGGTATTACGATGTTGATTTAGTAACTTCATTTTTTAAGTTTTAAATGGTGCTCTAGTTTTTTGAGGTGATAATTTTCCTCAATACTTCGTGATATCAATAACATAGTTTAGTCTCTTAAGTTAAGATAAGATGTACTGTAATTATTAGGTAGTGCATTTGAAATGATTTTAACAAATGATCATCAACAAGATTTGAACTTAAGGCCTCTTTATCGAGAAAAACGAGCATAATCAATTGAACCAATCATTTATTTGTAATCCTAAAATAAATTTTAAAAATATAGAAAGATTTTTTATTTAGAGTGTCACGTGACAGCTTCATGATTTTATTTTTTTTTCTTTTTAATTTTTTTTTGTTTTCTAAAAATATTTGAAAAAAAAAAGAGAAATATTTATTTTTGGCCTTAACCGAACGAGGGAAAAGTATGTGAAAGATTTCTCATGTGAATAGTTAGTAAAGATCACGTTTTGATATAAAAAAATATAATTAAAAAATTAATAAAAATTATGAGTGTAATTGATAGAGTTTAAGTCGATACAGTATTAAATTTAAGTTTGAATTCAATTCGAAATTCAAAACTCAAAACTCGGCTCAAACTTGATCAAGTTTTATTTTTTTAGCTTACGCGTAACACGAGATAAAAATTAAACTACTCGAATTCATTTGATTAGACTCAATTAATATGTAAAAATAAGTTTAATTTTTATATTCGACAAAAGTTTAATTATTTATGTTGGAACTCGAACTCAAGTTTGAGATATTTTATTAATTAAAATAATAAAAATATATTTAAATATGAAAACTCGATGAAGCTCGTGAGCTACACGAATCGAGTATAAAAATATTTAAATTTGACTCGATCGATGAGTCGAGCTATTCGAATTCTAACTTGATTTAATAATAATTGAATCGAATTCAAATTTTATTCGAATCAAACTTAAATAACTTATGAATATTAATATATCATTTATGTTCCTAATAAAAATCATAACCTTTGCTTTCGATACATAATTTTTGAATATAATTCAAAGACCACATTTCTCATGGTATTTGTGAATCCATAGTTAAATCTCACCCATATGTATTTTTCAAGTCTCATTTTGAAATGTGATATTATTTTTATGAACTTTGAAATTATTGAGTTCAAACAAAATAAATAAAAAGTGAGAGAATTAAATATCAAAATAAGAGAAAAAAATTTCAAGCAACAATGTCATAAAAGAAAATCTTAATTTTTTGAAATTTTGGTCCATTTATTATTATATTTTAATTTAATATTATATCTAACCTATTGTTTTTAATTTTATTAAATTTTATCTTTATATATTTAATGTTGTTTGTTTTTATAAAAAATTGTAGATTTTTTTATTACCCAATCGCAGCTTTAATTTCTCTAAAAAATCTTTATTAATATGTGATAGGTAAAATATTTAACTCCTATAATTAAGCACGGGCCTGCATACTGGTTAATGATAAATTAAGTAGAATAGCTTTACGATTAAGATTAAAAATTAAATTGCATTAATTTAATATTATATAATAATATAATATTTTAAAAAATCCTTTTAGCGACTCAAACTTCACATTTGCAAATATCAATCGAGCTCGATCCGACCCAAACCCAAACCATCGATATACACCAAATCACTACCCATTTCTAGAACCTTACACTTCCCAAAATCTTTATGCCATTTCTAGAACCTTATACTGTCCAAAATCTTTATGCCAAGCACAGAAGCATCCAGAACTTAGCATATATGGACGTTCCTCAACCCCTCAATTCTTCATTTTCATCAATAAAAGGCGAAACCACAAAACCTTCAAACAATAGTGTGAGTGGATTAGAGCAACAGGTGAGGCAAGTGCTGAAATCAGGTGTGGGCAGTTGCATATACTGTAATTTAAGAGCTGATCTTGTTGAATACGAGAAAGCGTTGAAGCTTTTCTTTGTGCCCGTTTGGAGATGGCCTGGAAAAGAGCCTGTCATGCATTATAACAACTATAATTTTAGAAAATAAAAAATAAAAGCCGTTTTTAAAAAATAAAAATAAAAAATATTTTTATTATTCAATTGCAGTTTTAATTTTTCTTAAAAATCTTTCTCAGTATGTGATAGATAAAATATTATAAATCTTATAATGAAATAAGGGCTTACATATTAGTTAGTGTTAAATTAAGTAGAATAGCTTTATGATTTTGATTGAAAATTAAATTACATTAATTTAATATTATATAATAATATAATATTTTAAAAAATCTTTTTCGGAACCCAAACTTCACATTTACAAATATCAATCGAGCTTGATCCAGCCCAAGCCCAAGCCATTGATGTACACCAAACCACTACCCATTTCTAGAACCTGCAATTGATGTACACCAAACCACTTCCCATTTCTAGAACCTTACACTGCCCAAAATCTTTATGCCATTTCTAGAAAGCTTACACTGCCCAAAAATTTTATATGAATGTTCCCCTTCAATTTTTCATTTTCATTAAAGCCAAAACCAGAAAACCCCACAACACAAAGAGAAACAAAAAAAAATGTTTTTTTTCTTTGTGGGTGGATTAGAGCAACAGGTGAGGGAAGTGCTGAAATCAGGCGTGGGCAGTTGCATATACTGTAATTCAAGAGCTGATCTTGTTGAATACGAGAAAGCGTTGAAGCTTTTCTTTGTGCCCGTTTGGAGATGGCCTGGAAAAGAGCCTGTCATGCATTGTAACAACTGCAAACTTTTCTTCCCTCAGCATATGTGTTTCCCACCGCCCGATTCATCATCTGCGATTTTAGAGGGTTTGCGTTGCCGTTTTTGTGATCAGCTTGTTGAGGCTGAGTTCAGATTCTGCCCCTTTTGTGGTTCTGCTATCTAATTTTCCCGAGACTCTGATATTGGAACTGCTATCTAATTTTCCCAAGACTCTGATATTGGAACTGCTATCTAATTTTCCCAAGACTCTGATATTGGAATAAGGACTTGGTTGGTTGATTGTAGAATTTTCTTTTTCTCCTTTTGAACTGTCTGTTTGGTAATAAAGTGTTGGTTTAGTAAATAGTTTTTTTTAGTTTCATGGGACTTTTCTTTTTCTTCATACTATTCTATGAAAAAAAGTTGAGAGATGCAAGGTTTTCGTTTGTTTGTTGAGAAAATGCTATTGAAAATTGAAATGAATTAACAAATTAATGGTTCTTTAGGAAAGAGTAATCCTTTTCATTTTTTATCAGTAACTGTTGAAAGTGGCAACTGTAACAGGTAATGGAATTTTTTATGTTTTGACTCTAATCAATAGTATAACAGCTTCTGGTGTTGGAATTTGTTTAGTATTTCGATAGAAATAGAATGTTCCAAATCAAAAAACAGTTTCCAGAGCCTTCGGGTGTTAAGGTCAGATCAGATGGTGATGAGTTTGAGAATGTCAAATGCAAATCTTTCATTGAACATCAGTTATTATAGTACAAGAGATTAACATTCGCTTCTAAGTTCTTAAGGCCAAAATTTCTGATCTATTTCTCTGGTCCGGGGAAGGATTAAAAAAAAAGAGGGGGGGATTTAACTGTACACAAACTATAAATGCATTGTACAGTTATCATTATTTTACAATGGCTTGTGTTATAGACCAACTCGAGAATCTGTCTCAGATCAATACACAGTTACCGCTGAATTGTCCTCAATGTGCCAACGCCAAACCTTCGAAGTATCTTTGATTGTAGTAGATCGCTTACTGAGCATGTTTGAGAGTGCAAGAGTCGGTCCAGACAATGTGAGAAGGTATGTTAAATTGGTTGCTGGAGTTAAAAATCTTGAAGTTTACATTGGTTTGCTGAAGGGTAATTGTTTAGCTCCCCGTTCAACAGCATCTCTCCACAATCTGTACCTCACTCCTAGCTTATCATAGGCTACCGGCCAATTCCAGACATTTGCCCCATTAACCATACGTTCTTGCTGGCCAATTACAAGTCGTAGATCCTCATTCAAGACCTGTATTGATTATGCATAAAAAGCAGGATGAAGTATTAGTGACAAATAGGAGTTCAAATTCTAACACCTGCAATCTTTTTTCCTATTCTTAAACTACACCTCCTTTGTACCAAAAAAAAAAAAAATTACTACTATTGCTTTTCAGCAAGTCATTCACACAAACAACCAAGGAGGATTTCTCGTAGGTTTTCAGCAAGTAATTTATGTGAATTTCACTACTCTAAAACCACAAACCGACTACCCAAAGAATGGAAAAATAAGATTTCTTTTACCTGTTCCGCAAAGTGCCTCCATAAATAATGTATAAAGGGAATGTGCTTCAAAATGGGAGCAAAATCTAGTGACATTCTATATAATAGTCTTGTCTTCTTTCTTGATGAAGGTAAGCAAACATGAAGCTGGTGAAGGTGTGTTGTGCATTCCTTGGTACTCTGTCCTTCCAGTTTCCCAGGCTTCGATATCCCAATGGTAGATAGCACCATACAAGGTGGTCGAAATTCCATATCAATGGGATAAGGGTCCCAGTATCCTTGGAGACCAGATGCCGGTGTCAAAAACTTCACCAGACTGAGATGTTCAGATTAAACACAGTAAGTAAGATCATATATTCAAAATATATACGTTTACATTGTTAGCATCTAGTCCATCTGTACTTCTAATGTGCAAGATATTTAGAGGAGTCATCGATTGAAAGCTACAACACCCAGTTTTTTGACCCACCAGAAAGAAAGGTAGGTTCTGTTGTAGCGGACATGCAAATAAGAATTCCAGAAACAAACCTGGGAACATTCCATCCCTTGGCAAATGTGGAAGTGTGAGTAAAAGGAGCATGAGCAAGATCCAAAAGGTTATCCAAAAGTAGTCCATGTTCAACTGGAAGTTCCATGACAATCTGTCATTTATCAGCATATTAAAAAAAAAAAAAACTGAGGTGAGATAGTGGGGACTTTTACTTAAAAAAAGTTCACATGTTTCTTGCATTTACAATAGTGTTTGAAAACATCTCAAGCATACCTCAGCATGAATTTCAAATCCAGAAGGAGGTTGTAAGGAAGGAAGGGTTGCTGTCGGAGGGTCATCACCAGGCCAAATCCAGATCATTCCCTCTTGCTCAAGGCATGTCAATGACCTTATCTTCACATTAAGTAATCGTGTAGATGGCATTTTTTCACATTTCCCATCCGTTGTGTATTCCCACCCTGATATATCAAAAAACGTTTCAAGAATTAGAAAATTTTACACAACTATTTGCTAAACAGATTGAAAGCCTTAATGTCATTCCAAGCATATATAACATGTTAATCATTCATTGATACATGTGTCGCTTTTTCAGAAATATATGATAACGAGAGCTTGTAAAATGTAAACTTCCTAAACTCTTACTAACCATGGTAGGGACATTGGATACGACCCTCATTTACTGAACCAAGGTGAAGAGGACATGCTCTATGTGCACAGGTGTTCTGGACACATCCTGGATTCCCATCTTTTCCACGAAAAAGTACCCATGGCTCCTCAAAGCAATCGATTGGAATCTGGAATGAGAAGTAACAAGATATTAGTATGAGGACATATGTTAACTAGTTGGGCAATGAAAACCACAAAATCGCCATGTAACCCCATCAAAGAACACAATCTCATAGTTCTGATAGCTAAGTGAATTGCCAGCCATAAGTAACCAAAAATAAAAGGAAGCACTGGTGCCTATCAACCTGATTTATAATAAGGATATATGTCAATATGTTGTGACATGGTATAAAATGATCAATATTGAGATGATAAGCAATCTTATATTTCTGAACTATAGCTTACCATAGTGTCATCCTTCAGATCAGTGGAGAAAGCAACAGGATACCAGAAATTCTTCAAGCGAGGGTGATATGGTTGAACTGGACCTGACACATCCAAGCTTTTCTGGGGCAACTTCCTCTTCAAAGAATCCAGAGATTGTGTTGGCGTACTAGAAGAAGGGGATGCTACATTGGACTCTGTTATGGTTCTATCTTCAAGCAGCTTATCGTTAACCAACTCCTCCATGTAAGCTAGTTTATCCAAAGCAGCAGAAACCCTTGCTTCAGACATATGTACCTGTTATTTCTCTTGGATCAGAATCAAAATTGGCTATCACACCAGAGTTGGGACCTCCTGTGATTATTCCTTTGTCGATTATAAATGATACTTATGGTAATTAAATCAAGTCTTACTCTGATTATTTTGTTGGAAACAGAAAAGGTAAGCGTCTAATCAGTTGGACAGAATCATTGGATCAATCTATGTATCTTGTAGATGCAGCATCGACATCCAAATTAAATTATAAGAATCACAATTAACTGCTAATTTTGTCTACCTGTTTGTGAGCTTGTGCTAGTTCTCCCTGCAATTCGGCAAGCTCTTTTTTCATGGTGCCAATAGACTTGTATTCACGTGCTAGAGGATTCAACACTTCCACTACCTACAACCAAATCCAACCAAAGTAAGAAGTACTACCGTAATAAAGCAACAAAAACTTCCCAAAAGATTAAATTGAAAAAATTATTAGGTAAACACTAAACACATCATAAACGCAGATTTCTTTGTCAAAAATAACTAAAAACTAAATCAAAAGTTCAAAACACAGGTCAAGAAGTAAATTGTACAACTTGTACAAGCAGCACAACTTCTAAGTGCTCACAAAGATGAATATCAGGTTGAATTGAAGAAGACCTTTTCATGAAGAAGCATGATTGTGAGTAAATCTTGCCGAGCCCGCCAATCACAGTACTGAATATCATATCTAGCCACTTCCAATGCCTGATATACATCTAAGAACTTCCCTTTACATTGTGGAACTTTAGACCTTGGATCCTCCACATCAAAGATCGTGCCCCACGGGCTCTTCTTATCCCCCAAGCTATTTTCCTCCCCAAACGTAGCAAACACCCTAAAGCCTCCTTTAACGCCCTGAAACTGCACCAATCTCGAACTATAAGTCACAGATCAAGTGGCTGGGGATTTTGTAATAACCCAAATTACTAACGCAGGATAAACAGACAAAGATCAATGTTTTCCAAGGTTGAAACCACCATCCAAGCTAAAGACTAACAAATAAATAAGCTCATTTAAATTATTAAAATAAGAAAGTTTCCACATTAATTTAGTGGAAATCTTATACATTTACTTGAACTAAGTTTATTGTATACTAGTGCATGAAAGGGCCTATATGAAGCCAATAAAATATGCAATATACTTAAGGATTATGCAACTTAAATAAAATTTAGAATTGACCCAGATACTTGTAGCTTAAAAACAGATCAAAAACCAAATCTTTCTGGCTTCACAGCCAAAAAAAAAAAGCTAAAAGTGACAATTCAACCGCTGGTAAGAACTAAATTTTCTTCAAAATTCAACAACTACCCAGATAAACTATTCCCATAAAAAAGGCAGACAAATACCTTTTTAGAACTAATCTTGCATGATCTGCATAAAGAGATTGGCAAAGACAAAGCACCAGCAGCAGCTATGGCGGTCATGGTGTTTCAAAAAGAATGTTCAATAGCCGCTTGTGGCAGAGGAAGAAAAAGAAAAAGAGAGAGAGAGATGTATAAGCAAAAACAAAGGGGATTTTGTTAGATAAGAGGTTGGTATAGCGCGCGATCTTCGCAAGCCTCCCATGGGATGCCACGTGGAAAAACGTGGACGGCAATGTCATACACGTGGCATGTTGGGTTTCCACATGCTTTGACGGTCGGAGAGAGAAGAGCGTCCTTGCTTTTGTGTAGGGGGCTTTCATATCTCTGCTACTTGCCAGCTCGGATCCTCTGGATATCTTTCTCGATCTGGCTATCCGTTAGTGTTTTTTGCCTTGTTTTTTCCTTCAAAAAGCTTTTTCATCTTTTCTCTTCCATTTATTTTTCTTTTCATAGTAAAAATGGGGTTTTTTTTTGTTCTTTTTTCTAACATGAGAAAAAATATCTGAATCATTCATTTGCTTTAATCATAAAAATATTTGAATTTCTTAAGACATCAACACTATGTTTCAAGATCACTTGTTAGAATTTAAATTTTAATTAGTTCAAAATTACTGAATAATTGCACTCAAATATTTAATTTAATAATTGATGCATGTTTTTATTAAAAATTTATATTTAATTTTTTTATTAAAATTTAATATTTTTATAAAAATAATTGACTAAATCTTTTATCCTTTAATATTAACAAAATAGAGAAATTCTCAAATTATTTTGTAAACTCTTTAAATTTAATTAATGAGGGAATATCTTTATAAGAAAAGTATAAGGAAAAAAAAATAAAAATGTGATTCTCTGTTCCATAGCTTGTTAAGTGTGGGATAAACTTTAGCCTACTCATAAATTAATTAGGGATTTTGAGAAAAATAAATGCTAAAATTATGTGGAGAATAAAATGTTAATCAGCACAAGCTACTCTGCTTTATAATACGTGTCTTATGTTATATTTTAAGATATTATTTATTAGTATTTATCATTATTTTTTTCGAAGAAATTTATTATTAGTATTTATTATTGGCTCAGCATAACGTGGACTATAAAATATTAAATAGTTTATCCTTTAATCCCTAATTTTTAATATTCATTCTGAATTTTATACATTTCCAATTAATTAAGTAAACACTTTCATCTTCAATGTATTTTTTTATAAAAATTCCCTATGATAATAAAAATTATAATCACATTAAAATAATATTTTCAGGATATATTAAATATGTAACTAGTACTTTAAAAAATCAATTAATTAAGCAAGTAAATAAATTAACCAAAATTTAACATAAAGTTAAAAAAAATGGGATTGATAGAGTGGGTCAAGTTGGATTTATTCCTTTAAAACTCAAGCTTGGTCCGAATTTGACTTAATCATTTAAATTTATTTAATATTAAAATATTTATAAATATATTTTATAACAAAAATTAAATAAAAATAATTATGCATTAATATAGTTGATATTATGAGTTGAACTGAATCAAATTCAAGCCTTGAAAATCTTGTCCAAAGGGTTAGAATAAATCTAATATTAAGGCCTCCTTTTTACCTTACCTTTTAGAAGTTTTTTTTTTTTTTCTTCTCAATCGACATTCATTTATGTTTTATTTTGGAGCAACAATCATTCATGTCAATGTAAAACAGTTAAAGAATATTTTAAAATTATGTGAAATTTATTAAAATTTTACTTGAAATTTACATTTAAAAATGATGAATTTTTATATAATTTTTTATTGTAATTAAATAATTATAATATTATAATAAAAAATTGTAAATAATATACCCCAATAACCAAAGCTGGATCATTTTGTGTTTGGAACTGCAAGTGTGAGTTCATTTTACAAAAGAGTTATGAGAGATATTTTCTCCTTTTTTTTTTTTTTTTTTCAAATTTGTTCTTTTATCTTTTTATGTTTCATTTTCACTTTAAAATTTGCTTTGTTAAATCTGGGGCTTGGAAACCTTGTGCTGCTATCCAATCAAATCAAGTGGCAAACTTTGGGAAAATAGGCTAATCATTTTCTGTACAGGACATTTGACAAGTGAATCCATGATTCTCTAATTAAAGGCAACTGAAACTTTGATGAATTTTTCCCATCTCAAAAATGTCAATGGATAGTTTATGTTATAGGTTTCTAAAATAGAGGCTAGGTCACGTTGTCCAAACCCCAAATTTTGTAAATTTGCTGATTTTAAAAATTTTAATTTTGATTTTTTTATAAAAATTTCATATATGTTTTGAATTTTTTTATAAAAAATTCATATACATCTTTTAATTTGGAATTTCCATATTTTTTTTAAATTTTTATTTATAATTTTTTTATAAATTCTATTTTCTTTGAATTTTTTTATATTTCTTTTCATTCTCATATTGCAATGATCTACATAGATATGGCACCGACTAAAATCAATTATCTAACAATTAATGCTTTATTTTTTGGGATATAAAAAAGTTTAAAATATGAAGATAAGAGAAAAAAATATAAATATTAAAATTTAAAATTCAGACTTATTGAATATCATGATGATTGCATAAATCGATTAAATTAAATTTTAGATCCAGTTAATGTTTTGTTATTAGTGAAGCAAGTCTTGATATAATATAATTAATTTTAAGATAAAATATCTAACAAAATATAAATTCGAATATTTAATTTTTTTCAAAAAAATATTTAATTATTATTTTTAATTCTTTAGATAGTGAATTAATAAAAGTGACATAATACATGGATCCAATGAGCATTCAATAGTAAAAAAAAAAAAAGAAAAAAAAAAGAGGAAACTTTTTTGGATAAATTTCACTGTAGTCTTTTAGTTTTAAACAGAATTCAACATAAATTAATTAGTTTTAAAAATTGATAATCCGTCTTAGACTTTTCGGTTATACATGACAAATAGATCATTCTGTTAGTGATCCATTATATATAAACTAGTACAAGTGGCCCTGCTTAGCTCGGTTTGTTAGAATAATTGAGTTGGAACTTAAAGTGATATATACAATTAATATGAATTAATTACTTAATACTAATTTAATTAGAAAAGTTAAAGAAATAACAACTTAAATGAGCTACGAAAGTAAGCAAAGAATGTTAAAAGTAAACATTTTAAAAGTAATAATTGTGAAAAAGGATAATTGCTAAAAAGAAAGTGTTTTAAAACATTCAGTACTTATGAGCTAAAAACTTATCCTATTCACAAATTGTTTTAAGCAATTACCAATTATCATTGTATGTAATCATTTTCAATTTTTCTTAAAATTAATTTTCATGAAAATGCAGTGGTTGTCTGGGTTTAGATTTGTTGTCAATTGCAAATTGGTGCAGATATCAGTTGTCAATTTAACATAATCAATCTTGGTTATACTGAAAACAATCACCTGAAAATCCATAAAGAAGAGGATGAAACTTTCAACATGACCATTCTTTAATTAATGAATTGAAGAAACAATACTAAATATGATTAAATATTCTTAGAAATCTCACATTCATGGGTTTGGATATAGCAAATAGAGACCCATAAATTCCATCAAAATCAACACAATCAAATCTAAGTTTCATAACAATTCAAATTACAAAAAATATGCATTCGTATTTGAAAAACATTTTCCATTTTCATTACTATATATTTTCATTTTCTAAAAGATAGTTTTCATGCTCTCTATTTGTTCATAAGAAAGGGTGCTTGAAAACAAAAAATTGATTTTAGAAATTGCAATCCATTTAACTATGTTTGATGTCACTATTAATATTTTTTAAAGATTAGAAAAATAGTGAAATCTATTATTGACATGTTCTTAACCAGTTTTTTAAATATGTTATAGGGCACCCTTATTCCTTATAATTTTACATGTTTTCTACTGCAGGTGCTTTTATGTTTGGCAGTCATGATGATTTTGATATTTCCTTTTGATATTTTTTTTTATTTTTCATCTCGTTACTACTTGCTAAAGACTTTTTAGCAGATAGTTCTTCCTCTACATGTGTTCATGTAATCTCTATGGACATGTCTGATAATTTTCATACCATCAGTAACTTATCAATCTGTTATATTCTCATAAGTCATGACATTTGAAACTATAAGCTCGATAAATAGCTTTCTTATCAATCAACTTGTCTATTAGATTTACCTGTCCAAATATAAGAAACCTAGCAAGTAATAATGTAATGACTTATCTGTTAACTTGTCCATTATGTTGCATATCTCTTTTGCAAATGAAGTTATTAGTCATGTCAAGTTCTTCTGAATAATAGATAGCAAATAGGTATCTAACTTGTATGGAAGTTGTTAAAATTGATAAGCAAGTCAGAATTCATTTATTTTAAAGTTTAATTGATTTTTGCTTCATGTTTTTTTCTTTGATCAAAGAAAATGTGCATGACATACTTTAGTGTAAATTTACATGTCTGCAACTTTAACTCTTTCAAGAACTTATGCAAAAAGGTTTTGTTTTTCAACTTGGTTAATGATCTTTGACTGCACTAATTATGTGATTCTTGATAACGTTTTAACCTATTAGTACATGATACAGCTAGAATTTTATGTGAGAACTATGTTAATCCTTATACTTATGGTTTGGAATGTTTTCACCATTTGATTATGTTGTTTGGTTTAGAATGTTTATTGAAACCATGTTTGATTTCAATACATCAAACTATGTTCGGTTTGGAATGTTTATCGAAACCATGGTGAAAACATAAGGTTTCATTTCCTCAAACAAAACATTGAACTCCCAAAGGCTCCCACCATTTTATATTTTCACCATGGTTTCAATCATCATTCTAATATTGATCAAATAATCTATTAAATCATTATAAATTTCAACCAAAACACTATAAATTTATTTAATCATCTTTTTTTCATAACCTGCATACTGCATTTATATACCTTTTAAATTTTGCAAGTACATATCCTAGAACTAGAAAGTGAACTAGAAGGCAGTCAAATGTACTTCATCGGTTGCCTTGTAACACCATTGTTCCAAATCAGCCAATCCAGCTTTAACATATTAACCATTACTGAATGAATAACACTCTCTCCTCAAGAAAAGGCTACAAAAGAATAGTGTATTCAAATGACAAATCAAAATTTTTTTTACATATAGTAGAAAAACGAAGTATAAAGCACTAAATAGCAGTATGGACTCTTACCCGTTGAATAGTTAAACATTGATGAATGAAAATATTTGGGTAAACACCTTACGGACTAAGAATGGAAGTCCCTATAAAGGAATCAAATAACATTAATTCTCAGGCAAAAGGTGGCCAAAATATACATAGCGAATGGTAGCACTTTTACATTTTCCCCTCCTTCCAACTTATTAGATTACACCCAACTTGAAGACATATTAAAAGAATTAAGTTCATTTTGGAATGTGAGAGTAAACGTTATGCAGAAAACATAGAAATTATAGAAATAAACAAAAATGGGAAAAGTAAAATACTAAACTAACACAACTTGCTTTCCATGTATTCAAGAAGTTTCCAAGGCTCTTCGTAATCCCTTGCGAGTGAGCAATCAAAGCTTGCTGTGCTACAATGTTAGCAACTGACCGTGATGCTCTCTTGACTAAGTTTGTTCTAGATATTCTTGGTGCCTATATCAATGTATCCATATAAGAAACTTTATGAAAAAATATAATACAACAACTCCACGGTTCTTTTTCATAGTTCTATTTTTTTTTTTTTTTTATTATTGCCTTCATACAACATGTAAATTGAACTTAAAAAAAAAAACAATATGTAAATAAAGACCAAAAAAACATAATAACAAAAAAATTTTCTTCAATAACAAAATTGTTCAAGAAATCGAAGTCTGTAACACAAAATTTATCCCAAAAAAAACAAAACCCATATTTAACTAAAGAACCAAAAGAACAAAAAAATTTGACCTAAAATTGCACAAAAAATGAAAACGAAAATCAAAAGAAAAAAAGCAAAATACATACCAACTCTCTGAGTTTCGCACCACCATTGCTCTCTCTGAGCAAAATATATACCATATCTTGCTGCATTCTTCTTTGTTTGTTTATTAATTGCTGCTCCTACAACGTCGCCTTCGCCTGCAGCAAATAATAACAAATTATTATTCTTCCAAATGATTCATTATTTGATTTCTTTCTTAAGAAAATAAGGAAGGGTAAAATCTGAAAAAGAGAGAGAGTGAAATCGAGAATCTAAGAAAGAAGATTGAGAAATCCTAAAACTAGTTGCAAAGTAAAAATGAAGATGTAAAGAGAGAAAGAAGAGGAGAAAAAAGAAAAGAGAATGGAAAAACGTCAATAGGAGAATAAGGGAGTGAGATTTTGTTGGTGACAACCTATCTCCACTTTTGCTCAGCCATCAAAATCGTTGGATGGAAAAAATACGGAGAAAAAAAAGAAAGATTAGACAAGTGTAAATTTAAGAATCCTTAGATATTCTTTTTATATAAGGTAATATAGATACAATAAATTTAAGTTTGAGAGATAGTTTTGTAATTACATAAATTTTGTCAGTAAAGTTAAAAATTTTTAGATGAATTGTTTATTATTTAAACTAATAAATTTGTATTAAATTATGCTTAAAACTTAAAAATCCAACAAAATTTACCTACTTGTTTTTGAACATAGAAACGACTAGGAAATTAATAAATTACTCTGAATGCTAGTCCAACAGTGCAGCCTCCGTAGAGAACCACAAGCGGCCAAGCGGAAAAAAGTTTGCAGGTGAAAAAGCAATCTAATCTCCCGACTTCGAACGAACAAAAGTTAAAGCTATCAGCCTATCAACCTTCAAAGTGTCAATTGTCTCTCTTTCCTTCTCTCTCTCTCTCTCTCTCTCTCTCTTCACTTTTTACTACTGTTTTTTCCTACATACAAGAGCCATAGCAATGGCTCGGAGATATCAAAGTTCGAGCAGCAACAAGGCTGCAACTTTCTTTTCTGCAACTCTTCTTCTATGGCTGGTTTCTGTTTTGTTTGAAATCATGTTTAACAAGCGGAGAGAGCTTTTCATCGTTGCTGGTGGTTGATTTTACCAAATAGCGAATTGGGTTTTTGCGTCTCTCGTGACCCTCTCTTTGTTATCACCTCCGTCTTTCTCTCCTTCACTCAACAGTTTCTTCCACTTCAGGTTCCCATCATTCCCTCTCTTTCTCTTCTTTTTTGATTTATCCTTTATTTTTCTGACTTGGCTATTTGTTTCTTTTCTTATTCCCTGACCCTGTCTTGTTTCATGTTTATTTTTGCTCTTTTTTTTTTTTTTGGTTGCTGAGCTCAGCTTTTCTGTCTGCTGAAGGGTCGTTTACCTGTTGGTGCTTTCATTAATTTTAGAAGAGATATAGCTTCCTGTATAAGCATATGTTTTTCTTGGGAATAGAAAAGGTGTAAAAAATTGCAGCGTTGAATTTGGTTAGCTATTTTGCAGATATCATATCATCCTTGTTTAATTTGCATGTAGAATTTGGTATGTAAAAGATATAAGAAGATGGATATTTTGGAATTAAAGGCTTTTTCTTGTATCAAAGAGCTGCAGTTGTGTTTTATATTTAAGAGTTAATTTGGTGACCAACATTAACAACTATAAAAGAAACATAAAAATTAAATTGCACAAACTGAAGACTTCAAATGAACTTGAAATATTTACACATGAATGTGTTGTTAAGAATTTCACTTGAAGCTAGCTTAGGCCCAATCTTGAATGCAGCTCTTAAGTACAATCTGAAAAGGGGGTAATCTTTGAAGGTAGTTGGCACATCTTATAACTTCTTAAATTAGTAAGATCAATATTAAGGGTATGGTGTTGGTAGTCGGTAGTCCTTGTCCATAACAAAATGGTCAATTATTTCTGTTGATGATTGTTTTAATGGAAATATGTATGAGCTATTATGCGTGTAATTTGATCCGACTGGGTTGAAGCAGAGTAAACTATCCTTCTTAAGGTGGTTCTAGTGGCATAAAGAGAGGAAAAACATTACGGAGAAAAGCAAGAACTCACTTCACTTTAGGATAGTGATGTTCTAAGATAGTGCATTGGCATAGATAAATATGTAAACTTTAAAAAAAAAAGGAATCTCTGGCCATGCATATGCATGTATCTTTGTAGGATAGATGTATGAATCAACTCATTATCACCAATAATTATAGTAGTGCACCAATGATAGAGGATTAAAAATACTGATTTTGTTGGTATAAAATTATAAATTTATCAAATGCTCATATATTATGGTATTCCTTTGTTTCTGAACAGTTTTTTTTTTTTTCTTTAATTGGGCTACTTGTGTTATTAACTTTTTAAAATTCAGTTTGATATATACTTTCTGTGCAGTGGTCTTCATTTTGGTTAATCAGTGGTTCAGAACTGGTTTAAAAAGGATGTTTGAACATACACAACTTGTTGAGGGTACTTGGCCATGGGCATGCTAGGCTCTGTGCTTCTCATGTGGTTACTTTGCATATGATCAGTGGGATATGCTGCTTTACCGACTATATACTGGTTTTATCCCTGCCATTCTAAGGCATCACCTAATACTCCTTATTTGCTTCACTCGTGTTGTGTCGACACATCACCATCAGCTACCTTATTGTCACTGTCATCTGTGAGGTATGTTTCAATTTCTTTCCTGCTAAAAATTTATACGAATTATGGCTTAAGTGTTAGGCATTACATTAGTGCAGGTTTACTTGTATAGGAACATAGCAAATGCCAGATTGAGACTTCTTAAGTGTGCAAATCAAACATTATTTTAGTATTAATTGTTTTTAATTCAAGATAAATAATTACAATTTTAACTTATGAGCCTCAGATGGACATGTCTCAAGGTGCATTGAAACCTGAAGGCGTGAGCCTAATGTAGCAGTAAAACTGAGCCCCGACATTTGGAAAGCATTCAAGTATCTTTACTAGTAAAGGTAGCAACTAGCAAGGTTGTTGATGATGTTGCAGAATACTAAAGATATTCTTGTTTTGATGGTGCAGCTGCATTCCATCTTTCTACATGTGAGGAAAGTGAGACGGATGGCTGGTGTTCGTGATGCCAAGAGCAGAATTGTGAAGGTAGATTGGTTTCTTAATTGGATCATGTTCGTTTTCGGAAGGCTTTTATCTCACATTCTGATAACCGTAAAGTTAATCAAAGATGCTTCCAAGTTTGAAAAGGGTGTTGAATGGCCACTTGCCCTCTTTGGAATGGCTGGAATGAATTTGCTTAACGTTTTTCTTGGCATTGACCTCTTCAATGTTTTCAAGAAAGAGAAAAAAACCCCCAGCGGAGTAATCAGAAACGCCATGAATTACTGACAGATAAAAAAAAAACTACGCTAAAGGTCAAACTTACCAATTTTTTTCCACTGATTTCGCACATGAAGATGTACCAGTTCAGAATGTGGTTAATTTTTGTTAGCATGAGTATATGTCATTATGAATTATATACAACTGAAAAACATGATCTTTGTATCAAAATTTACAATTGCTTGGTAGTTTTTATTTTATATTATTTTATGGATCTTTGATTACTTTTTCCAAGAACAATGATCATAGAAACTTACAAACTCCCGCTTTGAGAATTTAGAATCCAAAGATAGCAGAATACACATCAAATTAGCCGCAACCTGCAGGTTAGACGGCAACTTCATTTACAAGCCTTCACAAACGATATTGCAGCAATACAATGGATTAAATGATCAACCACAACTAAATAACTTGAAGAAATTGCTGCTTATCCTATTTGCTACAGGCCCATTTTTTATTCTTTTAAAGCTAACATGGCCAAAATCTAACAGGAAACTGGAAGTGCCACTGTCAAGCAAAAGGAGAGAGTAAAGGAAAAGGCATTCTTTTTCATACAAGGATTTTGCTATCAAGTTAATGTTACAGAAAGAATAACCCCAAGCATTTGAAATCTGAAATTCCAATTTGAAACTTTATATCCAGAGTCCAGACAACCAATCATGTATAAATAAGACAACCTAAAAGTGAACTAATTAATAGTGATTAAACAGCATTTAACCTGTCTTTCGAATGAAAAACAATTTCTTTGTTTTACACCAAATCTAAGTCTCTTAAATTTCTAGTTGTATCCCGTTCTTACTTCGAGTGAAAAATTTTGCAAATCCATTTCGGTTCTTCTCTGAACTAACATGATTTGATGACACAACTGATGAAGATGAGGATGAAGATGGAGGTGTGTATCCATCGTTCTTATTTACTGAAGGACCAGAATGGCCAGCACTGACTCTTGGAGACTCTGGATCTCTTTTGAGTGAAAATGTTTCATTAGAAAGTAATTTCCAAGGTTCTCCACCAGCTTTAGGAATCAATGATCCTCCTCCAGAGAACTCTGGTATGCTCATGGTGTCAATTAAGAAGTCTTCGAGTGTTGCAAGAGATTTCAGTTGCTGCCCTAAAGATGCTATTGTTTTTTGACACTCAGCAAGTTTTCCAGCAGCTACAGCCAAATCCTCCTGCCATAGTGTCTCATGAGTCATGACTATTAGAAAGATGGAATAGACCACAATTTTGAAACTCTCTAGTAAATCAATAATTACTGGGACATTGAGACGCATTAAGAAAGTGTAAATGCACGAAGACTGAAGAGTTACCTGTTTTATCTTCAATTCAACGTTTGAGCTTGTAGTTTGCTGGAACTCAGCTTCCTGTCTCTTCTTTGACAGCTCTTCTTCCAATTCTTGACACTTGATTGTAATTTGTGTTGACAATGCCCTTTCCTTTTCAACTTCTGTTTCTAATGAATCAATCTTTGCAGACATTGTTCGAGCTTCTGCTTCAATGCTAATGAGTTGAGACTCAAGAAGTTTCTTTGATTCATTTGCATTAACTGAAACTTGTGCCGACAAGGCCCTTTCCTTTTCAATTTCTGCTTCTAATGAGTCAATCTTAGCTGACATTGTCTCTGCATCTGTTTCCATGCTACTGAGTTGAGGCTCAAGATGTTGCTTTGCTTCATTTGCCATGCAGAGCTCCCTTTGCAACTCCTCCAATTCTATTTCAGTGTCCCTCAACTGTCGTTCTGATGCTTCAAGAGTTTCTTGACTTTTGGAAAGAGCAATTTCTAGTTCAGCCTTCTCAACTTCTATCTTCTCCAACTTCTCTTCGAGTTCTGCTGATCGATGAATCATGGCTTCAAGCTCAGACTTCAACGAGCTATCACCATCATTAGATTGTTTGGCAGTAGCTTTTGATTCAAGACATTTATTTTCACTCTTGGTTTCAGACAATGCAGCAAGTTGCTCCATCTCAAGAAAATCATCCATGAGATCAATCTCAATAGAAGAACTGGGGGGATTTCTGTTGATGACCTTTTCATTTTTG